AATGTCTGCGAGTTGGATTTGGTGTTTCACTTCGATGAGGTTCGTAGGAGTACAACACTTCTACCACTTGCCCCAACTCAATTCACTGCCTTCAACCATCTAGGTACATCACATTCTCTCAGAGATCATCCAAGGAGGTCTCGTCCTTGACACGAACGTTGAAGAAATAGAGGCAGCAGGTCCGTCGTGACAATCCATCAATTTCTCTTCTCACTCAGCTGACATGTGAGTCTCCAAATGCAAACAGTCAAACATGCAGCAAAAGCAAGACGAGAATCCTACGCATCATCGCATCCTCTTTCGCTGGGGAACAAGGGTGTTGGAGGATCCCGAAATACCGGATTGCAGACACCGCTGAACTGGCTAACGGGGAAGTTGACGGACAGCCTAAGCGCATGGGAGTAGGCAGTACGGCATTCCTGAGCTATGGGATGTTCATCTACTTCTTCAGCCTAAGCAGTGGCTAGGAGTCGGCCATCCGAGAGCATGTACTAACAGCAGTTGTAATTGAGCACTTGTCATCCTCGATATCCCCGCGCCCTCTAACAATTCCCTGCGTGGTGGGTGTTTGTCGAGGGTTGCACCATCGGATTGGGCGAAAGTCAAGAAATCATGGGAAGGATACCTTGACGGTGCCATGAATAGCAGCGCGTTCCCATCATCCGAGGTGGTTGCCGTATGCACAGTATGTGTACTAGTGACTGCTGTTGCACCAGTGTATCGGAGAGCTTGTCATCGCGAGTGCGCATTAGTCACACCTTTCGCGTGTGCGAAGTGCCAGACACGGAGCTTGCAGTTTTCCAAACGGTTGCCCGACAGTGTGGTTTGCAGCTTCAGAAATCGATGTCGGATTCATGATTGCGCTGGAGGTTGTGCAAGAGACGTGCCTACAACAGAACATTTCATCAACCAGTGTGCGGCTATAACACAGAGGCCTTGAACTTACGCTTTTTCTTCTTCTTACCTGCACCAGGTAAGCCTTTAGGCGGTTGCGTTTCTTGCGGCGTAGGTGCGCTCGACGCACTCTTCGGTGTAGCGGCTCTTGGAGGTGCAGGCGCACTGGGCGTTGGTGACGACCTGACAGTACCTTCCACTACCGGGGTCTCCTCCGCGGCCGACTTCTCAGCTGCGCTGGCAGGTAACGTGAACGACTGGTTAGAGTGCAACGCGGTCGTGCGCATGGCATTGAACAAGAGCATGTTGTTCTGTCGTTTCTTGCCATCGCCACCCGTTGTTGACTTGCGTTTGGGCGCAGCGTCTGACTCGCTAGGAACGATCTCTGTGTCCTCGGAGTTGGCGACGGGTTCAGTAGAGACAGTTGTCGAGTCCTCTGCCTCCTCATCTCGTTTCTTGCCATCCTCCGGTAAGGACGGGTCGGAGATTGGCCACACAAAGCCCGTTCTGGGCGTGTACACTGGTCGACGTGTTCGCAGGGTGTCAAGTGAGGTTTGTAGGGAATGAAGCGAAGTTAACTGGGAACAATTTCAGGGACAACTTCGGGGTTTCTGAAGATGCCACGTACAAGCCTGTTGGAGACCAACGTGTAGACATCTGGTGATTGGTAGATCCTGTTGTTCATGATAAAATAAGCCATGAGTGGATGCGCTGGAGCACACTTCATGAGCTACATTCAATCGCAAATAATCGTGGTCAGAACACACATACTTTCATCAGGAGAGACGCGGTTCCGTTTGTGGATGATGAAGAGGGACGGAGGCTGGGAGTGAACGAGAGCAAATTCGACGCCGGTAAAACGTCTAAAAGTGGAGGCAATCAACCAACTGAACGGATTGCATTCTTGGCATGGGATGCCAGAAACCTACTTGAGCTCCTCGGCTTCATTCGCGAGCGGAACACCGGTGTGCATGGTCTGCATCCGGAGGACTTGGTTGTTACTCTGCTTATCATAGAACATGGAGGTTGCAAAATAGTCGAACACGTTCTCATTGGTCAGGGGACCGTTGGCCTGGGTTGACATTGTGAGTGATTTGTCTCAGTTTCGATGCACTGCCAAGCTGACCTGAATCCACTCATGCCAGATGAAGAACCTGTGGCTGTAGTCGTCTGGAGGATGCAGATCGCTGACGTCCATTGCTTAGCGACTCCGGTATCACTACAACTGTGTCCTGATTGTTCCAGTTGCAAATACGGTTGTCGTTCGAACAGTGGTCGTCGTCGTCGCTGGAAGAGATGGGTGGCGGCCGAGACTGTGTCGCGCGACGCGACCAAACCAAGGGAAGACGCGTCCACGCCAAAGTTCGCACGGGTGCTACTCGTTCCCAACTACCGTCGTCGGCGTCCTCCCGCCCGGGTTTTAGTGGGAAGACAACGAGATATATACATCCCGACGCTACCGAAATCCTGTTTCTACCCACTCTCTTGGTCCCAACAAGTATCCTCAACATGGCTCCCTCCGTCTCGTCACCCAACCACCCACCATCATGCCCCCGAGCCTTGCTGGCCAGGACACCCTCCAGACTCTCGGAGAGGAAACGAATGAGGCGTTTCTCCAGGTGGGCCCAGACGAGCCTTCTCGGACATCCCGTATCTGGCGGTGGTCAAAGGCTACTGTGCACCACCTGAGGCATCATGTCGGTGTTGGCATTATATGCTCTGTTGCGTACTTCGATCCGTAAGTCTGTCTTCTCTGAAAAAGATCTTCTAGAGACTCACGTGCTCTAAAGGGGGAACTGGAGTGTCGACTTACAAGCAGGATCGCAATTCGGATACCGTCCGATGCTCTTCGTTATTCTCTTAGCTGGCCTAGGAGCTATGATCCTCCAGGTATGGCCATCCTCGAAAAGCCGGGGATCTCACACTATCACATCGGGCCATGACACTCACTCCAGAATAGTCGCTGTCCTTTAAGCTCGGATGCGTGACTGGGTTTGGTACGTTGTTATATTTGGACTTCTGAATGGCAAAGCGTTGAAGATAGCTTCTAGACCTCGCATCTCATTGCAGACTGCTTCTGCATGATAGGCCCAAACATCGACGTCTCATTCGGTACACGGTTTTGTACCCACTCTACGCGCTCTGCGAGATAGCTATCATTAGCACAGATCTGGCAGAGTTGTTGGGCTCTGCCATTGGTCTGTGCCTTATATTTCCAACGTTGCCGCTGTGGGCGGGTGTTCTCATTACCGCGAGCGACGTTCTGGTATTCCTCTTGCTGGGAGACCCATCAAGCGGACAGCGGCGTTCTGTCAAGATATTTGAATTCACTGTCATCGCCCTAGTGAGCCACCATCTTCTTCTATGAGACGTCTTGATTGACCAGAAGTCAGGTTTTCGCGGTTTTCGCGTGCTTCGTTGTTCTACTGGTTAGAGTAAAGCCTCACTGGCCTGCAGTGTTTCTTGGATACATCCCATCGGAAACCTTATTTGAGACGCGTCCAAATGCGTTGTACACAGGTGAGAAAAGATCGGTCGCGCTTTCCATTCCATCAGCTGACCGTTCTTTCAAGCTGTCGGCATCCTAGGTGCAACCGTCATGCCTCACGCACTGTTCTTGGGTTCATTCTTGGCTACACGGAACCGACTAGCTGAGCCTTTGGCTTCCCTGCCTGAGCCCGCTAGCGCATTGGCTTCAACTTCGTTCGCGCGAAAAGTGACGAGCTCATTCAAATCCTTATTCGAGGTTTCTCGCCTAGAGCGCAAAGCTGCCGCCCGAGATTATCGGGATAAGTATGGAAGAGAGAACAACAACTTAGATTTCATTCAAGCACATCTGAGGAACGGCTTGGTGGATGTGGTGTTCAGTCTGCTTGCGATAGCTGTCCCTATCAACTCCGCGTAAGTCCCAGAGTTGAACGTCTAACGGCCATTGCGGTCTCATCGCTTTCCTCCCAGCATTTTGGTCATTGCTGCCACCGTCTTCCATCGGAAAATGGACTCGTCTTCCTCCGCCGGACTTTTTGATGCGTACGACCTCATCAAAGACCATGTCGGAAAAGGTGGGCAATGCACTGTACTCGCGCTGATCCATCTCACCCAACAATCACACCTTATACAGCGGCTGCTTTTGTTTTCGCTCTTGCCCTCCTTTGCTCAGGTCAAACGGCTAGCATTACGGCAACATTGGCAGGGCAGGTTGTGTCAGAGGGTTTCATCGAGTGGAGAATATCGGTAGGGTACCACGGTATTGCCGCCAACTGCTTCTTCTGACGCCTCTTTGTAGCCATTTTTGCGCCGAATACTGACGCGAATCCTTGGTCTAATCCCTTCCATGGCCGTAGCTATTGCCGTCGGCAGGTCGGGGCTGGACACGCTGCTCGTTGCCTCCCAAGTCGTTCTCTCCATAGTTCTGCCTTTCGTGGTATTCCCACTGATCTACCTGACGTCGTCAAAGTCAATCATGCGCGTTCGGAAGCCGATTGATAGCGACCCAGCGACCCCGATGGAGAGCCCCACCATATCCTCTCAGGCGGCCACCAGCGTGGTAATCACGGAGATCCCTGTGGATGGCGAGCCTGGATCGGTCTTAGACGGATTGCCTCCTCATATACGTGTTGACGAGAAGTCGATCGTATGTATTACGGAAGAAAAGAGGGAAAAAGGGCCGCAGGTGGAAGATCACCATGATGAGCATGACGCAGCGCTGTCTCCGAGCAGCTCATCAACGATGGAGGTCCCCAGCTCGAGCGAGGATGGCGTCGAGTACATAGACTACAGCAACGGTTGGATTACCATCGGAGTGGTCTCGCTCATCTTCCTAGTCGTGCTCGCGGCCAATGTCTATGTCATCGTGGCGCTAGCACTGGGCCAAACGTAACGTGTAGAGTATGTATAAAGCAAACTAGCATGAGACCGGAACACCACACTGTAATAGACTTGAACATGGACATCGTAATCCCGAAATGCTCGGCATATCCGACGCCCTCCTCTAGCCTCCTCTTTGCCCAGATTTCATGTTCTCGATCCATTAGCGTATCGCTCGATTGCTGCGACTCGTCAGCCACTTGCAAAAACATACGAATGCAAAATAAACACAAAATACTAGCCCACCGCGAGGGTCGAACTCGCAGCCTTCAGATCGCAGGATCCGGTTATTCACCCGCACTCGATAAGAGTCTGACGCTCTATCCGATTGAGCTAGGCGGGCGATATCCGGCGGCACGCAAAGCACTACGTGACTACCATAGTAAGAATGTGGACGCAATGTGGACGCCCGCATCGCCACACCGCGTACGTCCAAGTCGGAATGGCCGACTATCGATACGAGATGATGTCGCAATTCCGTCTCGCATGCTATGCAGTCGTTTGAACTGTGTTGCTTGGCGTTTGCTCTCAAATCTTACCGTGCGTATTCTTTCAGTTAGATGGCGGCCGATGCACCATTGGCGGGATGGATAATTTATCAGCTTGAAGGTGTGTCAATAATGAACTTCTAGTCTTGGGGAACACATGAAGGAGCATGTCGACAGAGACAGCGCGTCACAAGTATTCATTTCGCTCGACCGTCCCTTCGAGCTATGCATAGAACTCCTGCCGCCCCCGAAGATGATGACAAGATGTTGAGGTTCTCTACCACAGCTTCGTCTTAAGGCACACTACTATATCGTTTCGGAGCGATCAGTAGCGATCAGTGACCCAACGCTAAGATGAGTCTGTGGAGTTTGTGGATCTCTTGCACCGTGCGTACATCAAAGTTCCCGATGGACACACAAACTCAACATTGAATACAAGAACCAAAACAACGCTGGTCGGTCTGACCGCTGACCAACTTTTCCCACCATCTTGACCGCTGGCAGTGGTATTTTGCCTGCTCATCACCATCGTAGAATGGGATAACACGTATCGAAGTATCAGATCTCAATTACCGCGGTAGCGGTGATCAACCTGTGCGCGTAAATCGAAGAAGCAGCGATCACGAGCGTTACTTGCCTCGGGGTCACAATGGTATGATGAAAGTATGACTCGACGCGGAGCGGGGTAGACAGAAACAAGATTTCAACAAAGGCACGCGTACACGAGTGACGGACGCTATCCACGCTTTGATCGGTGGATCCCAAGCACATCTCGTAACGACGATACCACTGGCTGACTGGAACAGTGGTGAGCAATGAGCATGGTTGCAGGAACATAAATGGACGCCGCTTGTTCAGATCTCCACGAGACAACGTTTGGAGACGTGACCGCGGGGAAGTTGAGAGTAGACGACAACGGCCGGAAGAACAAAGACCGAAGAAGGTCGCAAATGCGCATATACGAGCGACTGTATATTCATAAATGCTGTACTCTTCATTGAGTCAGAGTCATTCTCTGGACGTCCGCTCCGAAGATAGAGCTTCGTCCGTTAAGAGAGGTGACGAAGCTTCTCAAGTGTGTCCGAGTGTCTTACAATACATGTGCTTCAGGAGACCTCGTACTAGTATAGTGCCTCAGAGCTCAAGAAGCCGAACAAAAACGAGTCAGTATACTCAGGATGTGGCGGACGAAGACAGCACGAGCGCGCAACCTTGTCCAGACGTAGGATACAAATACCGAACTGGAGGAAATGAAGCGGTAGGAATGACTCAACGTCCACACGCAATGTGCATGTCCAACAAACTTACCGGTCGGTCGGGGAGGGGGCAATGTGATTTGTGAAATACGAGGATAGAGAGGCAAGTAGTTCGGGAACAGCGCCGGCCCACGCGACGTTGGACGTTGGGCGAGAGAGGGAAGCCAAGATACAACGGTGAAACTGACGATTACTGGTCTCGGTCGTGAAGTCCGTTCTCTGCAGATCGACAACGGTCTCACTCGGAGGACTCGGAAGGAGGCGGAGGATTGGAGGTGTGGATGCGCTGAGTTGCCACTTGCTTGAAGCTAAAGAAAATTGACATCAGAACGAGGTCGTCCAGGCGAGAGTGGTAAGGGCCAGCCGCCATTGATCCGTGGAATCCCAGTTGCAAGGTCGCGACTCGTCAGAAGCACCAAGGTACCGCCTCGTAGAAGCCAGAACACATTGCGAGCATGTGAGCCGGTCCGTGTATGCAGCGGAGCAGGAAGAAGTATCTTGCTAGGGTTCCCTAGATCGTTGAGCGTGCGAGTGAAACGTGCACATCATGCGTGGTTAAGGGCTTGTCGAAGGCGGCGTGACGTTCGGGGTGACCGAATGGGACACATTTCCAACGGGACCTTGAATCCGACCTGTGGACCATCGGCGGGGGAAAGAGGTCGGGCGAAGACGCGAGGGACATACGGACGATGCGAATGAATACAGAAACGGAAGGAGAGGTGTACAGCTGAGCCGCTGTTCAGGAAGAGGTGAGAAGCTGCAGTTCGTTGCTCTGTGTGGCGACAGGATAGAAAAGCAACCAACTTATCGGTATTATTTTCTCGTCAACGACTTTTTATTGGAAGACGTGAGCTGCGTACTGCGTGGCATGCGTGGCAAGCGCAGCTCGCCGCAGTAGAGATCTACAATCCGCATACAACAAGCTTAACTGCGGTCCTCGTCATAAGTGTCGACGTCCCAGGCTTGAGCAACAGGTCGGTGATATCGACACTGAGTTGGCGAAGTAACCGACGGACTGTGGACTGCGGATTCGTCGGGACTGTGCAGCAGCACCGATAGTGGTATTGCCATTGATCACAGCACAGACCCAACGTCTGTTGAATCTTGTCCGGTAAAACAGGAGAAACCTACGGGCCCGACGATATTCGTCCACTGGTTTCGTACGAATATTTAGAACAACTTCAGCCAGCGACCAGATTTTTTTGGGAGAAGGGATGACTTACTATGTTCGTCGTGCGACCACAGCCCATCCTCCGCAGTCGCTTTTATTGGCAATCAAGTAACATCTCAACGCTTCACGCGATGTTCAATCCTGCCTTCTCAAGTCAAAAACTGGCAGAGCAACTGCATGGCCACGAACCTCATTTGTTTACATTCGACACAGGACAAGGACACCTATCCTTGACTGCGGCTGCGTGCTCGCGGACCCCACACATACTAACTTTGGTACCGGCACCGATTGTCTGTAGAAAGATGTTCGGACGCAAAAGTGCTGCGCAGCCCCGATTGTGAGAGAGCGGCTCCGCAGGTCCAACAAGGATCCTTTCTGCGTAAAGTTTGGGATCTTTGGACTGGGTCGGGACCGAGGCTGGTCAAGAATACGATGGGCGGCTAGTACTGTAATGGGTTGACAGTGCTTGCTGCGGATAGACAACTCGATCACAACCGTCATCACTTCGTAGACGTACCCCCCTCGCGGCAACCTTTGCTCCGCGAACAAACTGTATCGACGCTTCGGAGCCTTTGCTCCTGAGACGTTCCTAGATATAGCAGTCTGGCTGCGTTTGAGAGGGAGGAGAAGTTGGAGACTCAGAGCTGGCTCAGTGGCTGCAGCGCGCTCCCATCAGAGCGTGGACTGTGCATTGTGATTTTGGCTTCTAGACACGATCTGCGGGTTTCGCACATGCAGCAGAGGTGAATTCGGAACCATCGTAACAGGGAAGGTTGGTGACCGCAAGGTACGAACATAGGAGAGCAGCAGCAGATGCACCCATACGCACCTACTGTAGTACGCATCGATGCTGACGCGCGCATGATGACCTCGCTGCGGAAAGGTTGCCGATTCGACGAAGAGCAATGTCCGACGTTCGTGACCATATCCAGCCCCATAGATACCTACTCGAATGCGGTTCCGATCTGTCACGGAAAGTGTGCGGAAATTCCACTAGACGGATTTCGAGCATGTCAAGGCGGTGCGGCGGTGCCAGGTGGTGCTGCAGAGAAGTGATGACAAAAGAAACATATGGAAGAACACAAAACATACGTGGCAACAGGACGGTGGGGGCGTTACGGTGTATTTCATTTGGGTGGATGTGTATGACGAAAGAGAGCAATCATCGCCATGGTCCATCATGGTGTCTCGTAAGAACAAAGTTGAATGTATCACGAAGAACAAAGGTGGGAGGGAGCGGGGACTTGAGACCGCCACCTTTGTGGGCGTCCGCTGGTCGAGCGGGCCCGGGCCAGATGAAAATGGGAGTGTAACGGGCCTGACGTGATGGGAGACCACGGACCGTGCGTGACAAGGAGACCCCAACAGCGTGACGACGGCCGTGCGCCCACTGCATCTGTCCAGCAGAATGAAACAAATCGGATGTCCAGCGACAAGGCTGGAAGTACAGGCTCGTCGTAAACAATGTATGGCCAAGATGGCCGGAGGGACAGGTTTCTGAAGGGGCGGGCGAGCGACTGGACGGGGCGTGGGAGGAATTGAGTGATGGGGCCGAAAGAGGAAGGAGAGACGAGTGGCCGGCCGGCACGCGCGGCAGGAAATGAGGGGTGGGAAGGCAGTACGGGCATGCGTGTCTCCGCAGCAGCTCGCCTTTTGACTCCTTAGGCCGCGCTCCTCCCTCCTCAACTACTCAACTCCCTTTTCATTCCTGCCCCTCACCGCTTACACGCAATCCCTCCGCAAATCCTTTATAACCCGCGCAGCTTTCGTCCAAATCCAAAGATGACTGACTACTCGTCGCAGTCTTACGCCTCCCAGCACAGCTACTCCGAGTACTCCAAGCTCGACGACGCCTTCAGCTTCGAGACTGCGGATTTCACCAAGACGTTCGACCTCAACGGATCTCCTTTGGACGACCTCGACGATTTCGATCGTGACGTCGACTTAGCTATCGATCCTCTCCTTGAAGTTCCCGTCAATTTCAACGACCTCTCCTTCGTGAGGAGCGACACCCCCACCCGCGGCGTCCCCTCTACCTTCACCGTCTCCTCTGCCTCCGAGTCCTTCCAAGACTCCCACTACACCGAATCCCTCTACTCCTTCGCAGGTGGCTCACCCGCCTCCCAGTACACCGACCACTCCCTCACCTTAGACGCAGTCGACGAGGACATGCACCGCCTCGGCATCCACAACCCCAACGAGACCATGTACCTCACCTCCTCCGGCTCCGACACCTCCTCTCCTGGCGGCATGTCGCTGTCGATGGCGACCTTCTCCCCCAATCCTGGCTACCCCCCTCGTCAGGCGTACTCCGACTACCAGCCGTCCCATCCAGGGCATATCCGCAGCTCGGCGTCTGAATACCATCCGCATCCGTCCAGGTACACCCAGCAGTTTGTCCAGGCGACGGTGACGCCCAGCAATGTCT